TCCGGGAGAACTGGTGCTGCACAGGCAGCAAATTCAAATAATCGAATTCATAAAGTCAGCAGCGTGGTCTGCTTTATGTTCCCTGTCGAACCGTCTACCTTCTTTCTTCGTACTTCCTACCATCCCTATCTTCTCTATCGACTACTCTACGTCTTCAAACAGGATTTCCGTCTAACCCGAATCTCTACTTTTCGTCCTTCTATGATCCGGCATTTAACGTACTTCGTTAAAGCAATCGCTCGGATACTTTGTAAGCTTCCTATTAACTCTTATTGCTCCTATTAACGTTCCTTCTTACGAAACTCGCTCTCGTCTTACCGTCATCCTTTGTTGGATACAACGTCTCCGTGAATAACTAAATTAAATAGGCGGCCACGGGCTTGAAATTGCTATATTTTCCAACCCGAAAGATGAATCGCTCTTTGATCCGTGTTTTCCAATTAACATCCCCATTTTCCTTCAAATTCCTTTGTATCAGTTTCACTGTTTTCAGGTCCCTTAACCGTTTTCCTAATGAAATTAGCCATAATTCTGGAGAAATAGTCGGGATATTTTCCTCTTGGGCATGATTTATCCTCGGCAAGTCGACAAGACTCCAAACGGTATTAACTTTGAGGCTGTCTGTGCTTCCGTGAGCCATTCTTCCGGTATAAGCAGGCTAGTCCGCCCATAATTAATGTCAATTAATTTTGACGAAGAAAAATTACAACGTTACGTTTGTTGATTAGGTATACCCAATAGAAGAATTTTTCGTTGTTGTTAAAGAAATAACGAGAGCGGTTTTGAGAAAATTTCATTCTGAAATATTCCTTAATCTCGTCAGTTGAGTAGGCAGCATGCTCCATCGGTGAATAAAATCGACCGATCTACTTTGAAGAAAAGGAACGGCGAGGACTAAAGAAATTTCTCTCGACGAGCAACGTTTCGTCCTTGTTATTTCTTTTTCTCAAGCAGCTTCTTCTTCGTTTCCCTTTCCTGGCAAACGACGGAAGTTGAAACGGCTGCGCGGAAAAATGGTGCCTCGCGACGGAAATTGATACTCGTGCCCTTTAATTTTCGACCGTTCCAAGAGATCGGGTCGTTCATGCTAGAAGGAACCCTTGGATAATCGATCGATTCCGAGTCGCAATACCGTCGATGGCTCGAAAAGGTAGTCGCGGAAAGTGAGTTCTTAAATTTAATATCCGAAAGATTTGCAGCTCTCTAATGTGAATTGTCACGTTTAGAACAAAGGAAATTTCGAAATATCCTGTATAGGTAATATTTAGTATGAACCAAATTAAGTAATAATCTAATAAGACAAAGAACAAGTAAAACAATTTTCTTCATGAAGGGATGAAAGTTCCCGGTTCTTTTTCTTTAATTTGAGAACACACAAATGAGCCGGAAATCGAATTAACGATATCTGAATGGCAACGCGTTAATTAGTATTGACTTAAAGCCGGAAGCGTTCGAACGTCGAAAGAGTGTCGAACGACAGACGAACGAGTTTTCATGGGGGTGGTTGATGTTGCCTCGAGAATAAAAAACTTTGAAGCGTTTAAAAATTTCATTGGACCGCGGCGGTGTGTATATACTTTCCAAGACTCTTCGATGCAACCCACTTCCACCATAATAACATGAAAGTTTCGCTTTTAATGCCACTCGAGCGAAATCGAAGTTTGCTCTCGGCTCGGCCTTGCGTACGGATAAATGCAGTTTCGTGATTTCGAATTACCGCGCTACCACTTGCTTTTCTTCTCTCTGTATGCTCGCAGCTACCGATCCGAAAGTAAGAGGACGAGTCTTTGAGGTTTCCCTCCGTTTATGGCACGGTTTCGTGATTCTATGTGCTTTTAAGAGTAATTTCAATGAACGCCACTGAACGATCCTTGTGTTGGTACTTATCGTTGAAATTTTCTTTAGAATTGTACCGATTCGTTTGTTATCGTCATTTCCATTTCATTGATAAGAGTTACACGGTATTAATGTACAAAGTATTAAGAACCTGATGAATGAATGTTATAATTCAATGAGAATTATCATAATAAATTATCTTGAAATATTTATCAGAAATTGTGTCAACTGACAGATATATATATATATATATTTTTCCTGATTTCAAAACCTGATCTGTCAAAAAATATGTATCCCCGTTGATACTGTTCAAAAAAATGATCTACATTAATTTCCCTTCTTCCCTTATCGACAACATTGTTCGTTCTCGCCTTGAGGCTGAAAGAACAAATGTCCGCTATCTGTTTTGTACTTTTTATCCGTAAACAAAAATAGCGAAAAATCAGAGGCACGGACGCAGGAATTATTAAGCCGTGGCTTTGATGCAGCAACGTGAATTAAAGCCGACGTAATCGAGCCTCGTGGCTCGAATGCGTACGAAAAATAGAATAGAGAAAGAATAAAAACAAAAATAAAAAAAAAACGAGCGACAAGTTCGGCGCGAGTGCACGAAGCGATTCGAGTTTCAAATCCACTTTGACGAACAGAGGGAAACAAAAAAAAAAAAAAAAAAACAAAAAAAAACGATTGAACCGCGACGGCAATGCCATGGATTCATCGTTGCTTCGATCAGACAGTGTCGGATGTACCAGGATCATTCCGATACATTCGATTTACGTAGGTGATCGGCCGAGCAGACGGTGGTTTTCGCTGAGGGATAAAATAAATTCTACGCGTTTCCGAGTATCGCGATCAAACGCGTTTACCTGCACGATTAATTAACGAGCGAACCGTCTATGTAGACACCCGTTCCATTCCGAAAAGAGTTATCGCTATCGCACCCCTATTCTTCTCGCTAGAAGATATTTTACACTGCTTCAAATTTAACACCAGAAATTTTGGAATTTTGGAATATCAATTTCATTCTATCAAATCATTTGAACCATTTGAATCGCTTGAAATAGCAAATTGAAGCATTATATTAAGAAATTAATACGATATTTAATATCTTTAATACGTTCACCGTTATAATAAAAATAACTACATTAAAACCTCATAAAACATTCACCGGAACAATTAATAATCATCCGTAAAGATTTTTCTTCATGAAAAATGTAGGAAAGGGAGATGGTGAGTTTGGTGAAAAAAGTAGAGGGTCGTGTCGCGCAATTATCAACAGCCACAAATGCCGGTCGTTAGTCGAATTCCTGGTTCTATTTATCAAATAAACTGGTCGCGCGAGGCGTTTTACACTGGACAATCATATTTTATCGGGGCGGCAGGAGGACGAGCATTTGTCGACGGTTGCATCGACACCGCGACTGCCAGATACGTGTCCTATCGTCGATTGGCCCATTGTTACGTTCACACGATGCATTATTTTCTTGCAAATGAATCTTTTCGGGCACGATTAAATGCCGACAGTGGTGCGGTTTTGTCGGCTACCTTCGTGTGTCGCGTTCAACGGCTACAAATGACGTTACCGAACGGATTGATCGATCGGTTGATTAACGTTTCATCGGTGTTACGCGTGTTCGGTTCGAATAAAAGGCGAAAGTAATTCGGTGATTCCGCGCCAGATTCAATGCGAATCAATCGACCGATAAATTTACCAACGCTTCGATGACGAACCGTTCCAACGAACAATTTCGAAACAATGGAAAACGGTCTTTGAACATTTTTTCACACAGCCCGTTCGCTGGTCGTTTCAGGGAACATCGGTTTACCGTACGATTAGAACGGAAATACGGATGAAAATGAATCGTAGATTAGGTTCCTCCATTGTGTTTAAGGTATACAACTATCAACCGCGAATTATTTTTTGTTTTCATACTTTACTATGAGGTTTGTGACGAAATTATTGGCATTCATCGCTTTATCGTAAACTTGAAAAAATAATTTAATTATTGTACCGTAGAGGAAGTGAACGAACACTTGTGTAAATCGGTGGTTGGGGGAGGTTGGTAAGGGTATCGCGTGGCCGCACACGAGGGTTGCAACGTGTGTGCGCAAGTGCATGCGAGTTGGCAGGCCGGCGTGAAAGGGTTGCGGCAAGACTATAAGGGGTCGAATGAAAACCGAGCGAGCCGGAAGACCGCTCGTTACGGCAGCTTAAGGTGTTCGCAGTCCGCTCACGCGAAGCTCATTAACGATCGAAGAGGAGGGAAAGTGGAATAATTAATTTCGCTGGGTAAAGAACGAGCGGTGGCGACGGCACAGTTTGCAAGAGTTATATAATTCAGTCGTCTATTCTAGAGAGTCAACGAGGAGGCAGTATATAGACGAGTCGTTCCTTTACATTTTCCATTTCTTCCCGTTCCCGATTCGCGATCGCGAATTTTCCACGCTCCTCGATTTTCATTTACGTAACAACTTCCACGGCTAATCCTCTCGCTGCACGATCGTTAAGGAAGATATGTGGATAAGAATGTTCGAAGCGAACGAGAAGCACAAACAAGAAGTTTGGATGATTCAGATCGTAAATAATTGACGATTTATAGCTTGAATTTCATCGTTATTCATTTTGTTGGAAATCAGTAAATTCAAGCGTTTGGAAATTACGAATGCTTTTCAATCGCGATCACGATCGAATTATGATTTTGGTACGAACAATGGACGTATGTACGTTCAAACTATTTCCCGTTTCAGACGAATTCCGCTCGTAATAAAATAAACTAATTTAAGGAAGAGAAGTTGCGTATTAAACGATCAAGTATCCGCCAAGAGAAATCTCTGAAACTTTCTGAAGTAAGTATTCAAGAATAAAGTGTTTGGTTCGTGTTTGGTCGGCTCTGCTGGATTTCAGATAATAATGAGCGCATAGCTGTCATAGCTTATAAACTCATCGTCAGGGAAACGACGTGTATACATAATTACGAAGCGTGGTAACAATGAATCATCGACGAGGAATAAACGTAACCGCGTTCATCGTTTACCTCTCACATGTTAATCTATCGCTCGTTGATCATTCGCCTCGGGCCCTGCATCTCTGGCTATGCAAATTTTACGCTTCAACGCATGAGCGAATATTCTTTAGCCAGGTCTGCTTCATTTTTTCTTTCTTCTTTTTTTACTTACACTTCGTACCGGTTAACGAGCCTTCGATCGACGAACGCGTCCCCGCCTTCGTCGTTTCTTTTACCAACGAGTAAGATGAAGAGTGCACACGTGGTTTTGCCCGCGTTTCAACGCCACCGGGATGCATTTTCCAACGTCTAGCAGCTTTCTTCAATCGCTTCTCCGATCAACGTGACGTTTTTTTGCGAATTAGGGAAAACTGCCGAAATAGAGAACGAGGGGAACGAGACAAGCCGTAAGATCGCGTAATTTTCGTGCATCAAGAATTTCCGAGCGTGCTTCTATACAGGGTATCTTGTGAAATTACGTCGAGAACATGGAGTAATATAACGAGGAAGAAATGGATTACTTGGATGAGCTAAAGTCTCGAATATTATTCTCCTTCGTTTCTTTACCCTCCCTACTTGCCACCCCTTCACGGCTGGCCTTTGCATCCTCTCAAAGTTTCTGCGACTGTCGCTTTGAAAGTGGCGGATAAGAAGAAAAGCTTTGGAATTATGGTAATCCGGTAGCTTGTCGAGGGTCTGCGACCAACTCAAACGATGTACGGCTTTATTTTTGAATTCTCGACACGAATGTCTCGACCGCTCTAAATCTTCGCAATTTGTTATTCTAAGCGATCGTTTGTTCCTTTTTTTTTGTATAACCCTGACACGTTGTCGCTTGTGTATCATAGGAATAATTTAACGCTTTCAATGAAAGACCGAAGAAAAATTGTTTGAATCGAATTCTTCTTGGAAATGAAATATCGTTAAAACTGAGGTTAATGGAAAATGAGACTGTACAAGAAACGTGTAGAGAAAAATTGAAATCAATTGACCAACATTATTCTAGGATACGTATGGATACGTGTACTCCGCTTAAACGTGCAGACAATCTCTGAAATTCCCTCTACTTGTCCAACAAGTGTGCACGCGTGATAAAAATTCCACTCGCTGGTGAAATGTAAAATAATCTTCGGGTTACATCACGATTACCTCGCGGCTAAATTTAGATGGCGTTCGTTAAAGAACTCCGCGTTACAAGGGTGGTTTGCGTCGAGTACGGGAGACGGGAAATGTTGATACTCGACATGCCAACCGAGAGCCAGAGAAAGAGGGAGATATATATATACGTATATAACGTTAGAGAGCAAGAGGAAAAAAAAACCACTGAATTTACTTCATCTAATCTGGCACAAGCACGCGGATGTTTTGCACGAGCTGTACACGCGGTACGAGCGAAGAGACGTCAAACACGACTCGCTCGATGCACACTGTGCAATTAATTAATCGCGCCTGCACACTCTACCTCTTCCGTCTACGAGTATTTCGAAATTTCCAGCAATGCTTCCGTCGATCTTCCGCCCGTCGCCCGACCAATTATTCCCAAATGAAACTTGAATTCTTCGTTAGTTCTGATTTACCGTTAAACGCTAGAAACGATCGATCGATTTACTTAACAGCTGTTGTTCGATCGCGAAACAATTCTTCTCAAACATTCCTACAAACTTACAGTAGTTGTACGTATATTAATTGTCATCGTTATTAAAGTTCACAATAAATACCACTTTTCGTTCCATTCGCGAAAACTATTTCACGGCTAGCCATTCAGTCGATGAAAGATGGTTTAGCGAATTTCCCAAAGGGGGGGGGGGGAACAATTTCACGAACCGTGGCAAGCAGGAATTCGAACGAGCTGTGAGCTTAAAAATTAACGAATGAAATAACGAATGAAATAACGAACCCGTGAATTGGGGGCAAACGCGGTAATGGAATCGCGGACACACACTCGATATTTACTTCCATGCATATTCGATACGGGACATTTAAATATTAACGATATTAAAAAATTCGCAGTCGGAGCGAACGTGCATGGTTAATGCTATCATGATGGCCTGGAAATATTCAATATCGTTGCAATACTTCAAACGAAGAAGGAAATTGAAAAATAATAAGCGAACCTGCTATATCGTATCCCAGTTAAAAAGTAGCTCGAATTAAAATACAATCGATGCGATCTTTCGATTCTTCGAAAAATTTTCAGTTTATACTAATCTCAAGTACTAAGAAAAATGTTCAATTCCCTGTTTTATCAATTTCAAAAGTATTTTCATTTCGATTTCGAAATATCCATCGGAATTGGCCAATTATCGATAAAAAAAATGAGACGATTTTCGAAACAAGAGGTCGTCCAGGTAACGAGACCTGCGGGTCAACAACGGGGCAAGGTTAATGCGATTATCATGGTGGGTATAATTTTGGCGGTGCGGTTACCATCATTATCACAGGCGTTGTAGCCGCGTTTCACGCGGAAATTTCGACGCGATCGCTTATCTAGCCATGACAAAAGCGTTTCACCCGGCTCGACGTCTGTCACCGCTTCCTCGACCTATCGGTGTCGACGTATCATGTAATCGCGTCAGCAAAGCTCGATGTTCCCAGACACGTAGCTACCTAACGAGATATCCGAGATCTCCACTCGAGCTTACTCGTTCCTCGCGCTTCTCCCAGAGTGTACTCCGTTAAATTGCCTTTAATGAAGCGAAAATTACCCACCAGTCGCGCTTTAAACTTTCACCCCTCCCGACGCTTCGCTTTTCGCCGCCATATTTCTACTTCAGACCAACGAGTAATCGCTCTGAATCAATTTAGGAAGCTTGTCTACCTGGTGCTTCTAACAATTTCTTTCGTTTCTTTCAATTTTCTTCATCGAAACATTCCGCAATGTTTCTCTTGAAAATTTACCGAAGATGGAATACCGTATGGTTCCCGATATTCGAGTCTACCGAACATCCATTACAACGAATCAAGAGTGATCCTCGAGGTGGTTCTTGCACCTCTCCTTTTTCTTATACTTTCACCTTACCCTCTTCTCTCGTTATCTTCCACTTATTGCTTATATCTCGATCAAGAGTACAAAGTGTCCTCGTATTTCTTGTCGCCGGCCTTCTTCCTGTTACTCCAGGCAAAGAGGATAAAAAGAACTCGGCGACACAGAGTTCATCCAAGAGCATTTTCACTTGCAGTCATCGAGATACCGGCGTTATTTACGCTTCTTCCCTCTCGGAAAAAATCGCGCGAATATATATGTATATATCGGTTGGCAATCTTGTTGGCGCGCAGCACCGTTCCAATAGACTAGTCGAATACAATGACCATTGACGCAGGACTTCGATCGATGGAACGAATATCGAGAACAGCTCCTCTGTGTACGTGGACCGAATTGATTCAACAAACTAGCGCGCTTCTACACATATTTAATTCACACGCGAGATGGAAAGCTGGGAAAATCGTCACCCAGCGGAGAAAAATGTCGGATCAAAAGCTTCTGCGCTTCGAAATCTTTTTTAAGCCGATATAATGGAACTGCGTATCGAATATATTTTTCTAAGGATATATGTATCACACACGTATATTCGGGGGCTAGAAGATATTTGTGCTTATAAATTTATTACTCTACAGCAGAGGAACGCTTAAAAATGTGATGGAAGAGGTATTTTTTCGCGTAGAAAATTGGTGAAATTTGAAAATGAATAATAGTCGAATGGGACGGTGTGCAATAAATATGGAGAATACAAGAGAAGCGTTGAAAATGAAATGAAATTTTGCGAACGAATATTGGCTGCTCCTCGCACACGGTATATTCGAATCGTGCGCTTTATTAACGTTTTTAGTAACATTTCTCGTTCTTGCAGGAAGGTTACGATACGTATAACGATATTTCATTTCAAATTACGAGCGTATCGTCGTTGATTAATTTAAAAAGTCCCGCTTAAACAGAGAAAAAGCTGAGGCATAGGTTAATAAGGACTCGAAGCTTTTTACCCGAGTATACGATGGCTAGAGCATAACGATCAAATCGAGTAATTCTTCCAAATGATTTATTCCCTGTGACGTTATCTTTGAACGAATAAATTGCGAACGAGACGGGTGATGAATCAAAAACGTCATGGCATTTTTCGCTGCTCGTTTCAAGCAACGAAATCGGAACTTTGTTTTCCGTTCTACTCGTTTGTCCCGGATATCCTTCGTCTTCTCCATGGGAACTCGTTAACGAACGAACGAACGTTTGAAAGGAGGAAGAAAGAAATTTCTCGTTTCTTTTTAATAATAATTTAAAAACGGCAACGTGGCGCAGGAGACGACCGAGATGAGCCCGAGTTCGCGAACCATTAATTCTTCGGTCGGGGGTTGGCGGCAGATTGCGCGAGAAGAAAGCGGAGAAAGCGAAATTTACCGGAGGATAATTAAAAGTCTCGAACGAACAAGGAGCTAGCAGGAGGCTGTTTTCAGGCACGAGCATCCCGGTACCGGCTTTCCACAATAAGCGGCGAATTTGCTTTTGGGTAAATTGTCATTTAGCGTTCGCCACCAAGCCCAGCCAACTGCTTCCCGCGACCCGTTATTACCCGCCGGAAGTGAATTACAACTGCTAATTAATTTACGAAGGTGAATCTGCTCGTTCCCGTGCTCGTTACATCGGCCAATGAATTGAAACTGTGCAAACCGTCTCCTCGTGCTCGTTCGTGGTTAAACTACTCGTTTGTTGGAACGATACCGTGAATTAATCTCAATTCGAATAATTAATTGCTCGGCCGCTTCGTGCTACCGATTGTGAGACAATATTTCTTCTCCATTCTCGATCCTCGATCATCGTTTCCGTTCGATAACACCTATTGCTGTTCCACTGGATTTGGTAGAACGATAAAACGTAACCTACAACGGAACAGATTCTGTCTGTATGCCAATAAGGACCTATAAGATCTATGCGTTTGCAAGATTATACGGATACAAAAATGAGAACGTTCGAGATAGGAAAGTTGAAGATGATTTATAATTTAAATCCAACTGAAAACTTAAATTTTTGTATTTATAGAGTAACATTTATAAATTAAAGTATTAAACAATTGTACTATGCCTCTGTTCGTGATAAGGTCACAATTCGATCATTCGACTAGGAGAAGGTAGAACGCTGTAACCTATTTAGTAAGCGACGATAGAGAATAATCGAAGGAAGTAAAATGAAAGCGATTATACGCGGATGATGTAAAACAGAATTGAAACAATTTACTTGCCACGGTCTAGACGGCTCTAAATCCAGCCAGTTGGACAAGCAGCATCGGTTATCGTTATCGAATGTCACATGCTCATCCGTCATACCGAGAGCCCGCGTGGAACAATGAAATTATACCTACTGTGAAATATCGGTTGCAAACTGGAAACGAGCCGATTTCGACGACCGTTTGTGGATTTATGGTACTCGTTATCAACGGCACCGTTTGTCCTAACGATTATGGAAAACGACCTCGTTTCGATACCGGGGGCTTCTCAAAATTGCGCCAATCTACCAGCGTACAGGGGATTTTCTGGATAACAAAAAAATGCTCACCAACGGTTTTTACCGGGCTCATCTGGAGGATTGGGAACCAACGATTTTCAAACCGATCGAAACGTACAGTCAATTACGTTGTAAATCGATTACCACCGAGTGAAGCGAATTTCGAAATTCTCTTTTCCCCTCTCATACTCCTCGCGGATATTTGATCGTGCGATCGTGAATAAATTAATTTCACGGAATAATTTGATATTTTTACCAGCGCATTTACCTGCTGCTCAGGTAAAAGTTTCAACCCTTCGCGATCTTTCAAGAGCTTCGCTACCATTGGTTCTCCTCTTTGTGACACAGGCCGGCCGCGTAAGAGTCTTGATCTCAAAGAGGACAAAAATCGACGAGGAAAAAACGAGGAAATAAGTAGGTGGAAGAGTAAATGGAAGAGAGTAAGTGAGCACAAAGTGGAGAGAGTAGGGAGACGATAAAGGTAAATAAAGCCGATAGTGTCGAGGAAGTCACTCTTGGTGTGTGGAGACCTTGTTGGAGGAAACTGGCCAAGCCATGGAGCCATGCGTTATTAGAAACCGTTTACCTGTCCTCTGAATGCCAGCGGTACACTTTTTCTTTCTACTCCTGCTCGTTTATCTTCTCGAGAGATTTACTTTCACTTATCTTTAAATTACTACCACGTCCACCTTTTGGAAATCTTTTACTTTGACTTAAGCAAATCGAACATCCCTCTAAAACAATAAACTATTTTTCATTCCTTCTATTTCATTCTAAAAAAATTATTATTATTATTATTATTATACCGTTTGAAATTGAATACTTCGTTTAAAATTGGACCAAGTGACTTAAGGTTTCTCGGAAAGCGGTGGCACCCAAAATCCCGACACCCACAATCCCGATAGCCAAAATTTCGACTACCAAAATTCCGTGTTCTTGGTTAGGTTAGGTTAGGGTTAGGGTTAGGGTTAGGGTTTTTGGGCTGTCGAGATTTTGGGGTGGACCCCTCGGAAAGTTATACAAATTAATTTACTAAGATATGATGAATTAGATAAATTAAAGTGAAAATCGCGGAGGCGGTTCCTGGCAGTGATGGTAATAACGTATGTCAAAGTCTATGGAAGGCCTAAACATTTAGCTGGAATCTTGTCGTATCGAGAAGTAGCTACCGATTAGATGAAATGAGAAGTCGTAAATAACTAATTCATTTGCTATCAAATAAACCGTCGTTCGAAATTCTGTCCAATAGAAGCCAATGAATTCCTCGCTCCACTTTCGTTCTACTCACAATACGTCTTTCGTAGCTGGGCAAACTTTCGCGCAGTCGTTTACAGAACGGAACGGACATATTTTTTCGTAGAACGTCAAGGGGTTAGAGGGTGTATTAAATCATCCGAGGCTTCAGCTACTCGACGGGATATCTGGCCGAATCGAGAAGCGGAACGTAGGTAGAAGACTGTTATAAAGGGTAGAAGTGAAGTGGGCAAAGGAAACGGAAGCAGAGGACCCGAGCGCGCATGGAACAGCGCGTCGAAAAGGGTTGCCAGCTCGAAAGGGGGTTAAAAGAGGAAGACTCCTGTCAGTTACGCCTGCCGGACACGCAACCTTTCTTGAATTATGATCGCGGAAGCTTAGTCTCTATTAAAGTCGTAAATTTCAATTTCAATAACACGGTGAATCCCGTTGGATGCAACGACCACTTCTACCCGCTTAGCTATGTTCCTGTGCACGCATATCCATCCTTTTTCCTCCTATTCCCATCCCTCCTCGAATTGCATCTACGTGTAGTGAAGTGACTGTACGTACTATCACCCTCGTTTCGAAGTGTTACAAAGAAACAATGGCAGTAGAAATGAAATTCAATTTCGTAGGTCCAAATATGGAACAGAAAGGAAAGTGAACGAAAAATGGATCGCTCGACGAAAAGCAATTAAAGCGTTAAATATTTGGTATCTCTGGTCAATATCGACCAAATTGATACGCTGCAAGCAAAGTCAAATAAAAGCCATACGCGTACGTCAATTGATCGCGAATAAATTGTCGATTAATAACTCTCGGTAAAAAATTGATTTTCATTTTTTAATACGCTTAGATCTACTATCGTAAGAACGTTCTCGCAAGTTGGCCTGACTTCCACCGATAGGGAATGGAAGCAGAAAATCGATTTATTCACACGCCATGTAACATTTCCTCGTTTAAAAAACGTTCTCCAGTCCAAGGATAGCAAAACAGACTAGCCGGGACCAGTCGAGAGGGCATTTCCTATAATTCATTCCCTGAAAATGTCGAAGATATTTACAGTGGATGTTGCAGATAGTTCGGTCCCGTCCCGCTGTCTCAGTATTTCATTTTGAAAATGTACTGCTAAGGAACAGTCTCTATTTCATTCGATTCGTTCAATTTAACCAACTGTAGAAAAGTATTATAAAATGTTCGTAATTTTAATTAATCACCACGTGACTTGAATGACAAAATCAATTCTGTATTGTATTAATGTTTCGTTTGAAATTAACGTATTAAAAGAATCTGAAGATAGGCCAACTTTCTTACAAACTCTTGAATCGTTTCTATTATAACGTAATATTATAATTAGTCGTACTAAGAAAAAGTTTCGGAATTCGCAAGTTCGTCAACGTTAACTTTAAGAGGGAACATTTAATAGAGCGAATAGTTGAACGTAGTACGTCAATTCCAATAGGATGTTCTTCGATGAACAATGCCAGGTTAGTTTCCAGGTATCAAGGTAGTACTAAGTGGGAAACTGTTCCCTCGGTAGAACGAGAGTAGCTCGTTCGGTTTGAACTGTATCCCAGGATCGGACTCGCGGTTCGCCACAGCACTTCCTCCTAGAGGTTCGCGGTTCCCTCAGGAATGTCTGCCTCCTATGGGCCATTCCGAAGTGAACCTCAAGACGGCCGGCAGTGACCAACTGGAAGTGGTCGAAAAGCCGCTACATATTATGGATACCACCGACTCTGTCCATCTTTACGTTATCGATATCTTGCGTGTTCCGTTGGTTAACCGTTCAGAAACGTTTGAATCGACGATGACACGATAAAATCTCGATATAGTAAGTGTAACGGGAATTTCCTCAGTGTTTTCGGTCGAATTTCATGAGATTCGAATTTCAAAATTTCCGTAATGCAGGCAGGTAATAGATAGAAGGAGACGGTTGGAAATTCATTGAACGGCAAAAGTAAATAAAAATACTTTCCAAGGATCGCTTAGAAAAAGGAGAGTCGAAATCAGAGAAAGTGAGTCAAGGAATAAAAATAGAAAGGTAAATAGTCGAGAAGCGGAATGAACGATCTATCGGTGTGTACCTATTGACAGAGAGTTGGGTTGAAGTGATAAAAAATTCCGAGGAACGAAACGATTAATCCCCTTTGTCATTTAAATCGGGCCCAATGCGTGTCACGCGACCACCAGCACGTTGTCAATCGTTATTGAAACGGTTATCGATTTATTGCGAACAGGCACACACGTCCTGTTCGCTAAACAGGGTAATTGCGAGAGAGTGCCGCGACTGAGGCTACCTCCATGAGATAATTGAAATTCGAGTAGTGACGTTAACGAAATGTTTATGCAATCACGTGTCGCAGTATAGTAGGGGAATTTGAAACGATGTTCGACGTTCAGTGCAACTTTCAATATCCACGTCTAATTTCGATCGAATCGATTCTCTCCTTTCAAGTACATTCATACGATTTTCATACGAAATTCAATGAAACAAATAGATCATTTAATCCTCCACTGTACTAAATGATTTCCTCCGCAACAAACATAAACTAGAATCTTCACTCAAGGACAATTTAAAAAACAGTAAAATTCAGGACTTACTTAAATTTGTAAAAGATACCAAACTGATAGAACAGATAATGTAAGCTTTACCTACTCCTTGATATCGCTAATAACCTTATGTGACAAAAAACCCTAAATGGAAGAAAAATAAAAAAAATAAATAAATACATCATTCTGTAATTACGAACGGCTATCAAAATGAATCCTGACATTGTATTGCGTACACTTTATCCACTCGTTTGGATTATATCTATAAAATGAGCGATGGCGTATCGATGATACGATAACAGAAAACTTTCTACGAACACCTGTTTGATTACTAAAATGATGGATGTCTTTGAAACTAGAACATAGTGTCTAATTACAAAATTATCGTGAGAAGGAGTAATGAAAGACTGGTAAGTAATTAACATCTCGTTATATCGTTGCAAAAAAAAATTTAATCCTGCGACTAATAATAAAATTAATTTTAAAATACCCTCTTCGACGAAAGGTTCCTCGAGAAACATTTAGCCGAAAAAGTAAAGTGATTCGTTCGAACGATACACGCTTGCCTATTCAACGAATATGTATTCAAAATTGATTCTCTGTAAAATAAAGCTCTGTAACGGTAGCAGTGCGTTTTTGGCAGAGAACGAGAGTTTAAAAAAGCAATATCGAAATAAGTGAAATAACCGAAATACAAACGTCGAGAAAATCGAAAAGTTGACATGTAAATGCGATTCCACGGCTGCAAGTCGTATACGGTACCGGAACAATTCGACTTTTCAACTTTCCTGATACTCGACTTGCAAAGCGCTCTGCCAAAGTTACGCACCGGAACACGAGGTATCGATGATGATTAGAATAACTTGGAGTTCGATTGAAGAAAAAGTTTTACTTTGCTCGCAATATCGAAAGAACTTCTATGTCGTTTGCCTCGAGTCTCGCAACTTTTCGTTCCGACGACCAACTCTCGACAATACTGGATATTTGCGCGAAACGATACGCGTTAATGAAAGAACCATTTCTAACGACGACGAAGAAGAAGAAGAAGAAGAAGGGGTGGATGAGAAGGAGGAGAAGGAGAAGGAGAAGAAGGGGATGGAATGATTAAGTTCTTAAAATGTCGCTGGATAGAGGATTCACGTTTCCGGATACGGTCCACCCTATCTCCACGGTGGTGCAGCAAGCTGCACGATTTATGACTGCGAACTGACTTTTTCCACTTTCATATCTTTTTCCTACTGTTCCTCGAAACTCACGCAATCTCCTTCGCTACCACTTACACCTTCTTCGTTTATTTGGAAACGTGCTGCAACGACCGGATTACGATACGCCTTCTTGGTTCGTTCTTTCTCGTTATTGTCTTTGAACGATCCTACGATTACACTAGATCCTTGCTACGATTTACGACACCTGTTTACCAATACTTCTTAAATGTTTCAACGAGAGACGTTGAATTACTCGCAAACGACAGTTGTACTCGGGTGAGCTAAGGACACACGCGAACGCAACGAAAACAGATCATGGAGCGATTCGAAATATGACAACACGCAGATGTTTATTGATAGAAGAAATTCCTCTAGTTCTTGCCGATGTTGTGGCTCGGCTCTAGCTACTGCGACACTTTTCGGAATAACGACGTACGACCGTTAAATTATGCTCGTAACGAGTGTAAGGTGGAAATGCTCGAAATTTGGTCTATAGGTTTGAAAGCTACTTACAGGAGGAGAAGGAAGGCACGCGTTGAATCGACTCCACGACACAGAAGATTAAAGGTGGTGTTTTGGAAAGGAAAATTATTTCTTTAACGCGAATTCACCAATTTCCAAATTACAGCCTACAGTTGTCCGAGTTCGGCAGTGAGTGAATAATGGACCCTTGAGAATTAAGCTCGTATGACACTTGTTAAATACACGAGATGGGAGAGCTACTCTTCGAATTAAGTGGATCTCGTTTCTCGGATCTTCGAATGCACAAAAACTTGGAGAGTTTACCTACTTGACTCTGATCCCTCAGGTGTTAAACTTCCGATTTCGAAATCGTGATTTCGAGACGCAGCAGTGCCGTGATACAGTTTCGATCGCCGACTCGTCAGTTTGAAACGCGAACAATAACTGCGAGCACTAGCCGTCTTGCTATGCGGTCGAATGTCACTTTGACTCGAGCTATGCCCCGTGTTTCCCTATGCGGAATCCCTCTTTCAAAACACGTATGGTCTAGACACCCGGAGAGATCAGAGTGCTCACGATCTATCGATCGGCAGATCTCAAGCTCATCCGACACTTGGAAGGGGTAACAAGCATGCGCTCTTCATAGGCACGACGAAACTACCCCACATCTGTGTATGTAACCGTGTAAATTTGTGCGATTACAAATGGTTCGCACGGTTGTTCCTTTAGACTTTAGAGAAACAGCCTATTTCTATGTACCAAAGTATGTAAATATATCTACGTTCCTATCAGACATACGAGTCAGTCAAGTGAGAATGGGCGCATAATGAAAACGATAAGAAAGTAATAAATTGAGGCAAGAAATCTGGTAATTACCTGAAAGTTACACGAGTACTTAACGTGTTTAATATCGTCCATAAAGCTGTACGATTTACGACGACGCATCTGACTCTTTCCACTCTCGTATCTTTTTCCTTCGGTTACTTGAAAGTCGGGCAATCTCCTTCGCCACCATTTACACCTTTCTCGTTTCTTTGTAGATGCTGGTACAACGACCGGATTGCAACGTGCCAACCCAGCTTATACGATTTCTCTTTTAAACCTGAACCCTCTCTTCTCTGTAGGACGATGACAACGAAAACGACGACGAGAAGGAGCAATTTTCTGTTCGTTAAAATGCAATATCGTGTTCCAACTACCTCAGCTACACAGATTCACCGTAGTTTTCGATAACGTGTTTCCCCATTCGACCGATAGTTCCGATAGTTCCGATCGAATCGTCCGATTGCTTTGGAACGCAACGTTGCGAGATCGTACGGAAAGAGGTAGGTATTATAACACGAATTTCGTTTAAATAACGAGTATGGGACGCGCTTGGTACAGCGTTTAATCGATCGGCCATTAAACGATATATTACGCGTTCGTTGTCCTGGTAATGCAACAAATGAGACACGGCTCGTTAACTCGCGCCCAACGATCGCGATTCTCTCTAAAATTGATTCCGCAAACACGTTCGTTCAACGACCGATTCTCTTTCATTCTTCTACGTTGATCCTATCAGAATAACAGCGACGCGACACACCGAATCGCAAACTTATTTTTATTAAAATCTCTCGGAAACTACACTGCTAAGTTTTTCATCCAATGTAAGGATCGAATGCAATTCGATGCAAGCTTAAAGCAATTAATTTTCTTCAAAGTATTTCAATCAACGAGCAGTAATTAAGTTTTTTCTCCCTTATTTCTCTTCACTTTAATCGTAAGTTCAATGATTGTTGAATTTAACCAAATGAGAAGTAAAATTCTCGTTTTTCTTCGGCTTTGTTCGGCTCTGTTCCGAGTGACTCCGGTTGATCAAAATTTCCATGTAAATAGGAAACTAATTTCTCGCATAGGACGCGTTCTTTCGCGCCCGTACGTATAAGCGAGCACGCTCGGAGATTAAATTAAAATCTCCGCTTTAGACCTAGATACATCGTGTATAAAGCAGGATCAAAGGATGTACACCCTTAGGCATGAATTCGCCAAGTTTAATGCAGTCTCGGGCCACTCTCGCAAGTATATGAAAGTATACGCAACGAGGATACAGCACGAAATCTCTTTTATATAATAGCATACACCTTTAAAGCCGATTTGTTGCCCGCTTCAAGCAACTTTCCCGAGATACGGCACGATTAAGGGGTAAAACTTTCTGCCGACCTGCCTACGAGAAGGATTTCTGCCCGTTTTCATCTAAATACTTACAGAACGAATCGACTAACTAAACTTAAACACACTTTAGGAAAGTCTATGCGCTTATCTGTCACGAGTCACTGCCATTATTCTTTTCTTCCTTCTTTTTCTATTTTCAATAGGTAGGTATGTTAAAATTATCCACCACCCAATTAATACGTAGCCCATTCGGAATTGTATCAAATTTCACCGTTAGATGAAAAATAATTTTCTAACTCTTAATATCCTTGACTAATCCTACTATCCCATTAATCGTGGCTCTTTCTACTGTGCCGGTCAACGAATTCATTTCTTATAATTATTCCCCTTACAAAGAGGCCTCGTTAGACACGATTCTTTCCACTCCGAAAACTGTAAACAGATAGATAGAAAATTCACGAAGTGAATTTCAATACGATGAAAAGTAAATCAATATTCACAATGTGTACATTGAGTTTTTCATCAAGCAACCATCGAACAAGAGGAAGCAACGAACCGTTCGTATTTAACGAGGCAAACAGATCGAGTTTCACTGGCAGTAAATTTTCAATCCCGTGAAATTACACTAAAAAGACGTAATTATCCGTACAGTCAGTTTACATTAAACCATAATTTGTCCATTACAGATATTTAAAAGCTAGATTGTCGAAACGTTAATATTTTTATGTGCACAATCGTTTGGCAAGTTGCATTACACGTGTCTGTTTTAATATTCACATGTTTCACTTGACTACTTTCCTTCACAAAATTGACCATTCAAACTCAATACAGATTATTAATACTTGGGAACATATCAACCTATTTCATTTAGTTAATCTAATTTTGGATTAATAAGTGAATTAGGTAATCGGTAAAAAATCTAATCATTTTTTTTTTTCTTCTTTTATTCGTTTCAAACTGTTACCATAGCTGGGGTCGTAACGTCTATATAGCAGATGCATCAGTGGACAAGGAAAGATGTTGGAAAAGTTTCATAGCGCGACGCGACGTTCTCATTATTAATTAATCAACTGCTAATGCCGGCAGGAAATGGAAGCGATGCAATTCGCAAACTTGGAAACTTCCTTTCGATGTTCTCAGTTTCTTTCCCTTCTGTACCTCGAATCGCACTTTCGATCGATCGAAAGCAGTTTAAAACCACGTTTCACTCGATTCCAGAGAAACGTATCCTTCTTCTTGATTGACGATCAAAATCTAATTGTATTACGATTTCGGTTAAATTTAACTATTTTTTTCAATTCGACCTCGTTCCATTCAATTTCGAAAGGAAATCTATATCGGGAAAATTAACCTTTACAAATTTCATCAATGAAACGAGAACAAGAGTTACCGATAAACCTTTCATTCACTTACACCGTATTTCTCGTGTGAGGCTAGATTTTATAAGCAAAATAAACGCGACGTTATTAAGCAGATTAATATGAAATTCAATGCAATAGAGCTTTCTAAAATTTTCACAAAGGGTGAGATAAATCACTGGGTAACGGAACGGAACGGAATCATAGATGAAATCGAACTTAGAAAAAGATGAATTAATAAATCGGTGAACTGTGTCGCTGCAGGATTTATTATGAAAGTTATGAAACCACATAGCTTAGTCGAGGGACAAAGTGTTCGTTCGAGGGTGACGAACGATACGCTCGAATCGCTGTAGATGAACGTCGAAACAAAGTAATTGGAAGCTCGACTAGGAATCTCGAATTTGTGAGATCAGAAATCCTTCAGTTCCTCTGTTTTCGCTACAAAAACAGTCGAATGTTTGTTTAACGATCCACCGTCCAACTCGATGGACCTTTTGCTATGATGAAGAAGTGAAAATAAAAATTAATTAATTTACAGTTACGAAGCAAACGTGATTATCATATATCTTATTATAAAAGATGGGAATAAACGAATGGACAAAAGCGAAGGAAACGGACTTGTTTCGAATTCGATAAAAAGGAAACATTCATTACCAATTGAACGGCACGTACTACAATTAAAACGGCAAATAATTCATGAACGAGACATCGCGATGCCAATGTCGCTAATTTATAGCCAGCATTTCGATTTCAATGCAAACGTGAAGACCGAAATGAGAAAAAATAGAAAAACGAGCAGAGGGTTGGATAAACGAAACAAAAAACACTGTCGATTGAAACATAGTAGCTGACCAAGTGCGCCGCGATTCGTTTGTAAATTATCCAATATTTTTCAATTTTCGGTTTATTCCTGCCTACACAAATCGTTCGTGCGGAATAAATTATATCCGTTTCGATGAAAGCAGAGTGTTTTATCATTTCCACGGGTATACTATATCGAATAGTATATAGAATATAGAACAAAGGTTGCATCTGTAAATAATCACAGGAAAATTGTTCGAAAGTATTCGAACGTATTCAAACTTATTCGTGTGTACCGCCATAATCGTGCACCAGCGAGCAGAATAATCGTAACACGAAAATAATACGATAATACGATATCGAGATTTTCGTACAATTTTCTATAGAAATAAACAGCATATATGTATAAATAACGGGCATAGTGACGTTAGAATGGCATATTTATATAATACGTAATAATATTCATAGTCACTATACTCGTTTGTAAAGATAATAAAAAATACAACCAGTCCCCGTGTCGTTTCGAACCGACACAATGAGGATCGGAGGAACCATAAAGCATGCGACTCACCGATCGTTGACTTGTACTACTGCCACTGCAATACACCTGAGATCAAACAACGATTGATCCTCGACGAACTCAACACTCTTTTCTCTGCTATTCTCCACTCTGTAGACGTTTGTTCCTTTAGATCGTCAAACGGGAATTATCTGTAAATTAACATTGAAGACGATTAATAAATCTTTCCATCGATTCACAAGTTTTCAACGATTCGTAAATTCTTTCATAAAAGTTGCTCGACAATTATAGTTGTAAAAATGCGCATACGACCGGGATTGGGTTCGAATCGTGCCAGTTGGTCGATGAGTAATCGTAGGTGGGGAGCAAAGGCGAATTAAAAGCAGCTAGATAGCAGAAGAATTCGCGTTTCAACAGTAGAATCGCAACATTATGATAATGTATCGGCCATTCGGTTGCTACGTACGCGACTTTAGATCCATCTGTCGCTACCGACCAGGCGGATTATCATCCTGCTCGACGATAATTGATCTCAATAATCCCGACAAAGGATCCGCAGTTCTTCTTTCGAATCGCTTTCTTTCATTCGTTCCTTTCATTTCTTTTCCCTCCCATCGAATCTCTCTTCTTTTCTTCGGTTGAACCAATAAAACTTGAATAAACGCGCCTCTCGCGACCCGGAACTCCTCCAAACTCCTGTCTTAAAATTCTACTCGACCATCGAACTCGATCGCTTTCGACCGAGTTACGAACTTTATCGATACGTAGCTGCGCGATCGAACGCGAGAATGCGAGAATGTGACATCCGTTATTGAAAAATGAAAAAGAACGCGGTGAAATAGCGGTATTATGGTAATTGATCGACAATTCGATTCCTTGTTACAGATGCCATCGTGTACCTCCCAATCCATACGACTGGCAATCAGTTACGCTTCGGCAATGTCTTAATAAACGATGAAATTTCTCGATATTCTTTCAGGGTAACGTTAATACGAATTTATAAGGTGTATAGATACGTATTTGTAACGAAGAAAATCGAGCGTGATAGTTCACGTACGCGTAACAGAATCGCGGATTTCTTAGCATCCGAATCCGAATCCGAATCTGAATTCGAATCTGATCTTGCAGGATAATCCAGCCAAGCTGACAATGAAAAGTAATAGCTATCAAGAAACTGTCAACGCGAACTAGAGCTACCGAGGCTGTTGAAAAAGTATTCGATGCATTCTCGACAATTTCAAACGCTATTCCCTCCTCTTCTATCTTCGCCGGTTCCTGTAAAATTCTCATCCTCTCTTTCGCAGCCTAGCAACTCGACGCTACTCTTTTTCTTCTATTTCTTTCGAAACCGAAAAGTGGACTGCCATGCCGTATCGAGCGTTTCCGACTCGCTGGCTCAACTTGCTTCCGGATTCCAATCGTTTTCCGTTTTACGAGAAGGACTGCCGGAACGTTTACGAAGTCGCCCAGCTTTCGGGGTAAATTCGAACGATCTCGGCTACGTATATCGTATACATATTTCATACGTATAAATTAAGGCTAACATCTCTGATACAACAAATTTATCCTTTCATTAAATAGTTTTCATCAATTTTAATCGTCTTTTACTTATCCTCTTTCGTTCCCTCGTGTTTCACACACCACGGGTACGATACTCTTGGGATTCTAGCTCGATAAGCTTGCTTGCTTGGCTTGCTTGCTTTATTGTTCTCCCATGCGGTGCAGCATATGAATCTGTATCACGAGTGTTCCCTAAGGTGGCACAATATTCCTCGCATAAGTTAATACTGTACGCATAATTGCATACAGTCTACTATGTATATAATAACCAACACAAGTACAGTCAGCGTCAATAGCCAGTGTAGTGTGTAGAGTGCACATCTAAATTCGAAACGCAAACAGGAGTTCTGTGATATTTCAATGATAACAATAGAGTACAATCGTTAAGAATTGATTATCATACAACCCACTGTATTAATTAAATTTTCCCAAGTGAATGCTACGGGATTTAAAGACCTTAGGAGCGAAGATGGCTGTGTTATGAATAACTAGCGTGATTTAGAATTCGTCAAGTTTGTGAGTTAAGTTTGAAACATGAACGCTTCTACTGCTAACTTATTCATCGAATAACTTATGAAAGAGAAGCTAAAGATTTTCAATAGCATTATTTTGTTACATAATAACGATTTTGTTCGCGTTGATAATAAAAGGACAGGCTCAATTTTCGCAGAAATTGTGCTGCTATTACTAACGAGTGTCGTCGAATAGTTGTAAAACTTAATTAGTACACGGTTCGTTTATTCGAGGATGTTGCATCGATGGAGGCGCATCAACATTTCAGTATTCCAAAGCCTCGAGGATGCAACAGCTTCGCGCATAAATAAAAAGAAATACTTGAATTTTTCTTCCTTTTCACCTTTTTCTGCGAACGACGTTCACCAAAAAGCGATGCAAAACCTACTCAAGAAGCATCGACAAATCCTTGCTGGCAAAAATTTTCGGTTTCGCGTATTCCTTCCTCAGATTTATATCTCGCACCTTATTCAATTCCGTTTCAAGAATCGTATGTTTAAGAAGTTCCATTAAATTACATCTTTTGGTATTACAAACAAGTACATATTATCGCGTTAAAAGATTACAATCATTGGGATTGATCGTATCGAGATCACTCTGATCTACCCATTTCTGTGCTATGTTATCGTAAAACTAGTCCTTTAGGTACGCAAAGCTCAGCTTCCTTTATACATCAGGAAAGAAGGCAGCGAACTCTTTTCAAAGTATTTTTCTTCGCGATTCGCGACGGAGATGGATCGCAAAGAACACCTGAGCGAAGCTCTTTACGACAAACCGCTACCTTCCACGGTCGCCTTTGACGCCGGAAGTCGCGGCACTGCGCTTTCTTTTAAAGTCTTCCTACGTTTTCCGTCTTTCCGAATGGTTCCCACTAATTCCTCGATGGAAGATGCACAACGGTCGAATAAAAAGTACGTCCATTTTCATCCACGGACCAGAAATTGAATTAATCTGCCCCGAGGAACGGAGAAATAATTTATTTATGACTAATCTGTGCGAAAAACGAAGTCTTCGTTCTTTCTCAAAATCGTAAATGTTTGCTCAGTACCGAGGACATAATCAGCGATTTGTATAACGTCGTAAATGAAGTTTCTCCATTCATCCGTACACGTTGAAACTCCGTGGACCGCGTACTGGATCAACTTCATTTCGTACTCGTGTCCCAAGTTTCGGATACGCCAAACTGCCAACTCGCCACTACACTTCCGCTCAAGTTTCTCCATTCTCGGCGACGAATATTGCGAGCAATATTTTAATGGGATAGCGGCAAACCGAACCCCGCAAAAACAGAAATTTTCCAAGTAGGTATCAACGAAGGAACGAACAATACATCGATGCTATTTTCTAATATCTAATTATTCGTATTCACTCCAACTTATAAGATTTATAAAGTTAATTCCATTACGAATCAATCGATTCACCTATAGTTTATCACGTTAGCAATCTCGCGAAAAATATAATATTTGCAACAGGAAAGGATTTGTTGATTTTAACGAGGAATTAAATGCTCGTGCGCATTATGTCGTTTGCCTACCAATCATTACGCGCTATACCGACTCGATATTTCGCGTAATTGATCCATCTATATATATTTCTAGCTCGATTCATGATGTTTCATTTGATGCAAAACATCGAAATTTGATTACAACATTATTATAGCTGAATAGAATTCCGGTAACAGAATATGTTAATTCTCCTTCTCGCTAACACAGTATAATACGGTATTGTGTATTGAAATTGAATTATTACCAATTAGCATTTTAAAGATTATCACTTTTCATCGTCTTTTATCTCAAATTAATTGGAACAGGTTAAAAGCCTTCAGAAAAAAAACACGAGAATTCACGTAGCTGATAACTTGCAGCAATAAAGAACAGATAGCCGAGTTTAAATAGGATAATAACTAATAACCTCGCAACAGTACCGAGCTCTGGTTTTAAAACAGAAACCATCATCCCTCTTTCTAACCGGTGATTCCATTAATTTCGATCAACGCGACGCAATCAATATCGGTTAATTACCGCGCGAAAAAGCTAGCGTTATCGAGCCAGCGGTCTCATTAATCTTGAGTTTGTACCGAGCGTGGACGCGTATCGCGCGGTTTTTCGACGTTGTCCGCCGCCGTCGCGGAAGCGCGAATGGAAAAGCACGTTTTCCTCATCCCTTTTGCCCCGTGGTGCACGTCAGGAATCCTCTACCATCCTGTTCCTGTGCAAGCTTTCAACCCCTTACTCTCTCGCTTTTTCCTCTTTATCCCGCGGACTCGCACGAAGATTATCGAACTTGCACGAAGCAAGTGGACGGGGTGTCGAATGGATGGTGGGATGGGTGAGAAGGGGTTGCACGGGTTGGGGGTGTGTGGGCACATAGGGAGGTTTGGACGTACGCTCGAGGAGAGAAGTGGGGGGGCTACGGGGTGAGTTTGGGGCGCAGAACGCTGGCCGTGCGCGAAAGTTCATCGGCAGCATCCAGTGTCATCGCGGAGCTCGACGCGCGCGCTTCGTTCGTGAGGGAGGTATCAACGCCTCCTTCGATCGCCATTATCGATGTTTCGCGCCTCGAGAAACCATTTCCAATCCTCTCTAGTACAACTTCGATCCGTTGTCGTCATCTTCCTTCCTTCCATATTTCTCTCGTATCTTTCTTTCTTTCTTCATTTTTCGTTCGCTCGAAACAACAACGCGATAAACTTGCTCGCGTGAACATGACCGGTTGCTTCGAATCAACGATCATTTTCATCTTGGATACGCGATGTACAGATCTATCGTTCGGTGAAACTGATTGATCATCGAATTATTCTAGGAAGGATCGATGGATGTAGTGCGCGAGAATGGAACTCGGCAATTAGTGCGGTACAGAGATGTTTGCACGACGTAAAGCCGAATGAGTTACGAGCAAGTGTGTTTGACGACCGATGAGAGGACACAGTAGGTAACACGTGTTCTCGAAGGAATTTCATCTGGATTTCATTTCACGCCACCGACGGATCTGTGAATGACGATGTTGTGAAAAAGTGTAAACAGACGTGTGTCGATTGGGTGTGATTATCGTGGCTTCTGGCAACTGAACTTCGAGGATTACCACGCGCAGGTAAATAGTCGTTTAGTTTCGTATGACT